TTCCGACAGAAGCGCTTGTTTCAAGATATCATTGTGTGCTGAACGTCAATCACTTATCCTGGTTTTATGAGAAAGAAGTAGATTAGCTTTGTTGGCTAGAACTGGATTTTCGACGAAAAAGAAAGTTCAACTGGCCTTATTGACAAGTACTTGATTTTCTGGGTTGAGGCATCTTTAGAACCCTAGTGGAATCTCTTGGGAAAAATATAGTCCAATGTGGCTTTACTGGCAGCAGCTGGATTTCCTGGGAAAAAAGTTCGGGTAGCTTTGCTGACCAAAGCTCAACTTTGTGGGGAAAAGAAAGGCTTTACCGACCGGAACTGGATTCTTCGGAAAATTTTTTGATATCGATGATCTTGACTCCAATGCTGTTTGAAAACAGTCTGTTTCAGCACCAAGGAGTCTCATTTATGCTGGCAGATATGGCAGCAAATCTAGAACTAGCGCGTTTGGTCACTTACCGTGCCGCGCATGATATTGACAGCGGTGAACGTTCCTCCTATTATGCTTCAATTGCAAAGTGCTTCGCCGCCGATACAGCCAATGTTGCGGCCAGCAATGCTGTACAAATTTTTGGAGGTTTTTTCTAGATTTTTTATATGTTTTTTTCTAGATTTTTTTTATACATTTTACGTTTCTACTGCCGTTGCCACTGAAGTCAGAACTGTTCCACATTCAGTTTTTGTATGAGCAGTAGAAAACTGCAACAGCAACTGCCCTCTGAAAAGGGGCGTTGTCGATGCCTACTCTTCTGAGAGTTGCTTACAAGCAAACTGATAGCAAGTTTGACACCCTGGTATATACTAGTACCAAATTATTGTGGAAACGAATGAACGAATCGCAGAGGGATTGTTTGTTCCACTAGTGAAGTCGAAACTTCAGCCTTTCTCACGTTACCAGCGGTAATTCTTACAGATCCGTTTCCGCTGTTGGGTTGTTAGCGCTTACGTTGAAAAACTCTTAGGTCAAACAAAAGTACTGGCACACACTTTTCTGCTGTTACCTATGCAACTCTGGATCGAAAGGCCTGGCATAGCTACACCAAATTTGTGGAGAAATCTAGTAAGATTGTGACCTTGCATGGTATACTCACTAACATTGGATACCCAGACTGATTTTCAGGCGGCCTTGGTGTTCTTGGTTGTCAACTATAGAAATCATGAACATGAGTCACCATGCTGTTGCAGGTAATGGATTCAGCAAGGAATATCCAGTAGAGAAGTTGATGCGCGATGCAAAAATTTATCAAATTTACGAAGGTACAAGTCAAATACAACGCGTGGTTATTTCGCGACATTTGCTTCAAAAAGTTGCAAACACCGGAAGTGCTTCTTGATGCATTTTGCTTGATGCTTTGGTCACTTATAATTCGTGGTGCAGTCCTCCACCTTTGCAGCTAGCAACTTTTTCGATTACTTTTACCAGTGTTGCTTTTGCATTGTGAACAGCCTGATGGTGACCCCGGCGTTCTTTTTATCTTCTGAAGGGATTAATAGCACTGAGCAAATTGCCAACAGAAACATTTGACTAGGCTTTAATCGTACCGAGGTCATCTCCGAAACGCTGCCAACCACAGCCTATGAAGGGCGGGGGATTGATCGATAGATTGATTGATGGTCAGATCGAAAGCAGGAAATAAGATTCATTCCTTATTCGCTCTCCAAAAGATGCGAACGCTTTCCGTAGAAACCCCAATGATAGCAAGTGCCAACAGCAACCACTCGCTGACAAGTTTTGTCGTCAACGGCTCCTTCGTTCCAGGGTTGCTTGGAAAAAGGCTAACGGTCACTCAAAGACATAAGATAGCAGGAAATGAATAAACGAATCCTGTAGACGTGGTTGCCTTTCCCTAATCAAATCCTGAACATTATTTTTGACGATAAATGATCACTCTCTTTCGAGTTTTGTTTATTAGTTTCAACGATAACTCACTGCATGTCGCGGAGTTACAGCCAATTTGTTTCTAAACGACTCTCAAAGGAACAAACCACCGACAGTCTTGCTAGCAGGTGATTGTTTTTAACACGTGGTATCGCACGAGCTAATTCCAAGCGATTCGTTTCTCAAAGTGTGTGAATGATAGAAGTGTTTTCATTTGGTGTAAATACGTGTATTTTATTTACTCTTCCTTCAAGACAATAAAGCAGATTGGTCATTTTGGACCATCAGCACTGCGTCTGAATTATTACTGTTGAGCTCCCAATATTGCGGCTGTGAAAGAACACCTCCTCCACGAAGGGAAAACATCTATTCACATACATTTTTATTCTATACGCTACGACACAACTAAATAGTAAAGTTTCAGTAAAGAATAAAAAAAAAGGAAAATTTAACACAACTACCTGTGATACCATTTCAACGCTCAAATCTTAGGATCTTTCGTGAAATGACCTCAGCCAGGTGGAAAAAGCAGGTTGTTGATAGCATCAATATTCTGAGAGCATGAAAAAGGACCCCAATACCGGGGCACCAAGGAAGGATCCTGAGAGAGCAGCTTCTGGAGTGCCAAGTAAGATCCGCTTGAGTGCCTGTATGGAATGATGCGAATGATAATTTCTCTCTTTGTGTCTTACTGAGGAAGGTGCAAAATAGAGAGGGCCGAAAAACTGCCACACATTTGTTAATTTTCTCCCTTGTACTTCATTTATGAACAATTCAGTTTCATCAAATTCAGTAACGTCACTAATATGAGATGCCCGAACCGACTATTTAGGCTATCTTAACACAGCAATTACAGCCAAGATATTTTTTAATGATGGAGCTGTTCAGTGTCCGAGTGTGTTTTATTTTCCGCTGGAAATGATGGTTGATTTGAGTACTAAGGTAATGCTTTATGTCGTGAGGGCACTTGTATGACCAAGTGACTATTTCTCTTCTTGATAGAACTGGCAGCACCAACAGCTGTCGAAGCCGTTCCTGCGCCCGACTTTGTGGTTTCCCAGTTCTGTATCCGAGCAATCCGACGAAATAGGATTTCCTTGAAATCGCGATGCGAAAATG